AGCTGGACCAATTTCAAAATACCTCCAAAAATGGAGTTTTTTATGAATAAAAATAGCTTCAACAATTTTTATGAGCTTGAAGCCATTTTTTTTGAAAATTTATTGTGGAAAAGCAAAAATAATTTGAAAAAATTGTAGAAGTGATAGCTATTTCGGAAATCACCACATTTCCTCATCACGACCGACGATCACCACTGACTCAGCCAGTTGCCTACGCACTGTGCTAAGTTTGTCTTGTTAATTCTTGTTGCTTATTTTCCACTATTTCACTTTGCTGAGCCAACTACAATCAAACGCAGCTATTCCGCTGCAATTCACTTGATCATGTGGTTGTTGGTTTTTGTTAATAATTCTATTATTAGAATGTTTAACAGAGCTGCTCAAAGACTCTATGCAGAGCGATACCCCAATCGTCGGCATCCGGGTCGTGAAGTATTCGCCCGGACCCATAGATAAATATATGCAGGTAAGTGATTTTTACACCTTTCTTGTTTGCTTGCTTGTTAACAATCATTTTTCACTTTTTTAAGGTCGCATACCTGGAAGGCGTGGCGGCGAAACAGTACGTCCTGCAACGGTAGATGTTGAAGTTGTGTTAGAGAAAGTGGAACTAGGTCCATCGACTTCAGTGAGAATGAAGGAATACCAAAAACTACATTCCCACGACAGCCGGTTCTACGTACCGGAATGACTCGGGTTTCACCCGACCAAGGGCTGTAGGTCGGCTAAACGGGGTTAAGGTCGGCGAGTTATCTCAGAAGTTGCTCGTCCATAGGGCTACATTCACTACGTATTCTTCTACTCAGGGCTGGCATCGAGTCAAACCCAGGGCCAGAAATCTACACCTGCTGTGTATGCCAGAGACGACTACACCACAACTCCACCTCAGTCAAGTGTAATGCCTGCGAGGGGTGGAGTCACCTTAGAGTCTGCTCAGGACTACGGACAACACGACAGTGGACCACGTCGTACGTGGCCCCCTGGTGCTCGAACAGAGCAGCCTCCACGGCTAACCTCAGTCCACCAGAGCAGCCTCACACAGTCACCACAGCACAACAACATAATAACACCACAGACCATACTACAGCCACGACAGACTTCATAGCACACACAACCGCACCACTACCCACACGCCGCCGCCAACAACTCCTGGTTCCTCCTACAATCTGCACGGCATGTCAGACGAGGATATTCCGTAATGCGACATCAGTCAAGTGCAACACCTGCCTTGGCTGGTGCCACTTTAGGGCATGCTCAGGTCTGCGTACCACGCGAGGTTGTACTGGGAACTTCGAGGGCCCGTGTTGCGCTGCTCGGTCGCAGACCTCAACTGCGACGCCTCCCGCCACCACCACAGGGCGGCAACCATCACAGCAGCGCACACAGCCAACGGCGGTAAGAACACACACATCCCTTACACCGCACATCACGACACGTCTCCCGAACCACATGAAGCTCCTTCAATTTAACTGCAAGGGGCTACAGAGCAAGATTGAGGAGATAACCATCTTCATGGGAAGACATG